GAGGCACGGGCCCCGCCGCGCACGGCTGGCGACCCGGAAGCGCTGGCCGCTTCCTGCCCGGGGCACCGGCGTCGGCAGGAGGGGCGTCGGCCAGCGTTTAGCTCCTACTCCTCCGGCCTGTCCGCCGCCAGCACCTCTCCTTGGGATTTAGCGCTCCCAGGGGCCGAGGCGTCTCTGCCTTCTGCATCCCCCACCATCCCAGAGCCCCGGGGCTCCCGCACGGTGCTGCCAACTGGGCCAGGCGCCTCCTGCAAGGAGGGGACGCATGCCCAAGCTCACAGGGACATGAGCTCAGCTTGAACTCTCAGCATCCTCTGTTACTATGTTACAAATCCGACCTCAGCTGACCCCAAACCTGCTCCAAACAGAAATAATGTCCCATTTTGATTCTGATGGATCCTCAGACCTCATGGATCTTCATCTGATCTAGCTTAGCTTAGAAATTACTGAACTTCTATGTGCAGCTGCTTTATGATATTCAAGTATAACCCAAAATATGTGAAGCACATTGCTTGTTAATCTAAAGCAGTGTTGGGGTTGTTTGGGGTTTTTTTATTGTAAACAAATATCCAGTACTCCACATCCTTCTAAAAAAGTCCACTTGAATCTAGCCAAAAGGAATATATGTCACACTCAGTCCAGAAGGATGGTAAAATTATTTATTCTTACATTAGTTTACGTATACAGCAATGACATTAGGTTAGAAAAATGCCTGTATCATAATAAGAGACAGTCAAACAACTACAAACTGTCAATAAATACATTAAAAACATACTGTATGCTGATGTAGAAATAGCCTATGCTTTTTTGGTTACTTACCCAGTACAATATTATTGAAAAGTTTTTTGGTGTTTTTCATGCAACATCAAAATTCTTCCTGACAATTCATGCTATACAACATTTTTTCTTTATTAGGAATGGGATGAATTTTAAAATCCTGTTTACAAGTATTAAAAACTGCTGAAAATTTTAACATAAATCTCTCAACTGTTGTAATAAAAAGAACCAATTTAAAGAAGATTGTCTTTTAAAAAAAAAATTTTCTCAACTAATTCTTTATAAAACAGGCACTATTTCAAAAGGGATGTTTCCATCACCCAGGATGAATCATTTGTGCTTAAAATTTTAAAATGAATATTCGTGGCAAAAACCTAAACCCAGCTGGTAAATAGAGAAGAGATCGCAGTATGGATCGGCTAAAACTGAACATGCTTTCAAAATCTGTCCAGGAACACACTAAACACTTATCCACATCACTATGCCATCACCTATGCTAACAATTAGAAACGGAGTTTTAATAATACTTAGCTCCTTTCATGCTCAAAATTCTTCACAAACATTTAAATTGTCCTAACGCTTCCACAAGTATTATTACCCCCATGTTACGCTTGGGGCAGTGGAGGTGGAGAGGGGTGGGAATTTGCTGGGATGCAGACCATGTCCTTTCCCTCTTGCCTCCCTCAATTCAAGTTCTTTATCTCTTTCTGTATTTTACGCTCAACACACTGGAGAGTCCCAGAAAACATGGGCAGCACATTTCCATCAGTTATTAGTGGTTATGATGCAAGTTGTGCCACTTTGAAAGTTACATGACAAATGTTAAAGTTAACAACAGACATGAAGTTCATGTCCGAGGCTCAGAGTTGATGTCCTAGAATGTCACACCATTTTCAAACTAAGCTTGCTCTTTCATAATGAAGTGTTAGGGACATGAGGCCAAATTCTCTCTGTTTTACAGCCAAATTGACTGAAAGTCAGTCATGGCAGTACAAAAGAATAAAATCCGTTCCTCACCATCTGTTCCTGGAAAGCCCCTACAGTGGCCCAGTATGTCCTAAAATTGTACAATAAAAAGGACATTCAGATCAAAATAAAGATTTCAGATGTGCTAACCCACCAGGAGGTGCAGATAACTAAGGCCTCTTCCCCTCCGCCCCCAAATTCAAAAACCTGTGTGTCTGAATTATGTCCTAGAAACTGTGTGGGAAAGTAAATGTCTAGCAGTGAGACTGCAGACACAAAATACGCTATTTTGCTGTTGTCATAGCATCAGTCCCCGAATGGTATTGTTTCAGTTCATATCCACATCCTGCACAGAAAGGGCATTTTTTATTTCGCCATATTTGCCCTCTTGAATTTTTTTTCCTTATGCCTTGCAGTCTGTGCCCCGTTTTGATTTTTGTCCTGCCTAATTTACTCCTACTCTAAACTCAGCTCGGTTTCTTGCTGTCTCTTGCCAAGCTCTGAGTTTGCTCTGCCAGTGGGCTACTGGAGCAATGGATAACATTGTGGTGTTTCACTACCTGATCTGAGAGAGACACAAAATTCTGCCACTTGTAATAACAAAATGACTGAGCGTGCAAAATTACATCCCTCTTACAGGCACCCAAAAGGCTTTAAGAAGGCACATGTGTTCTTTGTCAGTTGTTCCTTAGTGCCTGATCTTGGTGGTTTTAGTGCATCTTCAATAAGCCCCATATAATGCACACATTCCCTTGCAATACTGAAGGAACTTAGAATAAAAATTAAGATCTTCAGCTGTACTTCATAGTCAGCAGTCGTCACTCAGCGGCTCTCGCCCTTGAACACTAGAGCTGCACTACCTGTGGGAACTGAGTTCTTACAGCAACCTCACTTCCTAATCCATTTTCCTCTTCTTTCCCAAGCATTCACATTGCTAGCAGAGGGGAGCAGTGCATGTTACGTGGGCTTCTTCCCAAGCAGATATCCAAAGCCCTTCCTGCCTTTAGTAGAGCTGATAGGCCAGAGAACATCTCTTTTGCACAGATGTGGGAGCAACAGTATGGGAGTTTTACTCCTCTTCTTCCTGACTGAGAACCCTGCTTCTGGCCATGTCCTGAGAGGTGAGAAGCACCTGCAGCTTCTTTTGACTTCAGATGGGGACTGTGGATGTTGATCACCAGTGGAAATCAGTCCCAAGGCATGAGGCAGGAACGGAAAGGATATAACAAAGCTATTGTGACCTGGGGGTACTCTGTACAGCTGAAATACCAGGCTAGAAAAGTAAGAGGCATTGGCATCTTCCTCTGGGCTTTCTGGAAAAATACAATTAAAATAAACAAACAAAAAGATGCAAGATCCCAGGCAAATATTTTCCTTGCCTAACTGAAGCCATCCTCCCCACTTCAAAAATCCAGGAGATCGAGAGATCAGGACAGATTGATTCAAATGTGCTAATGTTAAAATGTTTCAACTTTAGACAGGTGAAATGCACTTGCATGCTTGGGCATGGCTTCAGTTCTGTGTGAGGGATGGGAGCCCACAGGCCTGCTTGGGCTCCAGGGGGCTTACTGGGGAAGCTCCATCTCCAAACACTCGTCTGGTGTTGGGAGCCAAGCATTTCCCTCAGCCTGGACCGAGCCAGGTCTGGATCGAATGCATGTTCACATCAAACTGGACTTCTAGCTGCCTTAAAAACGCAGTCTTGAAAAATAGGTTACAAAAGGAAAGGCTGGTGCTTTGGCAATTCATTATCTGATATGCCGACCAAAAGCCTCAAAACATTATCAGTAGCTTGACTAGTGGCAACTCACTATTGCATGGCTGGTAGTCACCAAGAAAGCATTTCTTAATGGTTAAAGCAGTCACATTGATTGGGCACACCTTTCACAATTCCTCCAGATCGGTTAAATCTACAACCACTTTCAAAAACAGTGTGTCATCTCTGATGTAGGTGTTCTTGGTGTTCTCCAGGACCGTGTGCGGCACAAAACGTGGACATCCAGAGGCAATATTCATTTCTCCATCTGGCCTTTTGAAACTGCTGCTATTGGGGTCAGCTCTAAAGACTTCCACGATGTGATTTTTTTTCCCACTTTGGTCCAAAAGCATGAGTGTGACTTTTTGCTTGAAAGGCCAGAGCAGTAGCGAGTCAAACTCTCCTCTCATCACTACAAAGTAGAGGGAGACATGGGTTCCCTTTCCTGAGCCATCCCCATTCAAGTACGCTCTCGCACATAACCTGTACCCACAGCGGCTGGTGTAAAAGGGCTGGCTGAATATGGAGAGGACGCGGCCTTCCACTGCCTCTTTCTTCTTCATCTTGTAGTCCGTGATTTTCCAGATTAATTTCCCGTTGTAGCATGTGCCTTCCAAAAGCTTAAATCGTTCTTCATTTTTATTGAGCTGCGCTTTGTGAATGTTGATCTGGAGATCGTGTTTGCTGGACTGACCTTCCAAAACAACTGGAGGAAAAAGAAGAGACACACACTTGGTAAAATAAAACTGTCAGAGCACTGGATACAAAGAGCAACCAGAATTGAGCTGGCAAAACTGAACTACTCAAGCCTGAGTATAGGCTGTTAACTACTGTTAACTAGTGCTGCCTGTAGCACCACAGCCTTTATTAATCACCAGTAAACCAGAAAAACACCCATACCCACACAGAAAAGAAACAAAAGTCCCAACACACCCAAGCGCTGATCATACGTCTCCATCAGTGCAATCTTCTGTTTTACATTTTCAATTGTGTCAAGCAGGGGTCGCAAGTCTAATTTGCTTTGTTGCTGGTTTGCCATCTGTATTAGCTGCTTCACTTGTGATTCCAGGCGTGCAGACTTATCCAGGTGACTGGCCAGAGCCTTCCCAGTTCATGCCATTGGAAGAGGGTGGAAGTGGAGACAAGAGACATTCAATAAAATCAGTCACTTCGCTTGAAATAAGATAAAGAAGCCTTTATAGCAAGTCAGCAATATCAACTACATGGTACATTCGAAAGTACTCTGCTGGCTTAGGAACGTATCCAAATGCTCCTTCACAAATAACTTGGCATTTAGTGACTGAGAAGCCATCCCTCACTCAGATCTATTCACACTGCATCACCTCATTCAACTGATGATTCAAATTTATGCCTGCATATTTGCGATGGGGATGTGGCCATGAGGATTTATACAGTGGCTTTTTTTGCACAGATCAGATATCCAAACTTTTTATTGGTTAAAATGAAGACAATACCATATTATAAAAAATTAGAAGGTCTTGTGAAGTGTCTGGAAGATTTGTTATTGCCCTACTATTAATGCAAACTATTACTGGATAAACACATTTCAGGATGCAAGAAAGCAATTGGCCAGAAAGATAAAATTAATCTCACCTGTGTGCTTACCATCAAGTTGCTATTTTTACCAAACAGTTGTGTAAACTGTCTGAATTCTTTCTCACACTTTTTAATGGCCTCTGCTAGCTGCTGGATTTTAATCTCTTTACATTCCAGGCTCTTATACAGGTCAGATATCTATGTATAGGAAAAAAAAACCAAAAAACACTAAGGCACACCAAAATACAGAACAAACATATTAAAACATAGGTGACTACATAGGAGAAAGTGTAAAAGTTTACAATGCAAAGCCTCTAACTTAGCTAGATACAGCAGTAAATTCACAATTCGTGGATAATCACTGGCAAATACTGATAATAAAGTAGTCATACTCTTCAATAGATCTGTGTGGCAACTAGTGCAAAGAGACTCATATCTTTTGTCCCTATCTTGATGATCCATTTGGCTCTATAGGAAAATAATACATACTTCCATGCACACATATGTATGTGTGTTTCTGCGTGAATGTATATACCTTTTTTTTTCCTATACTAGGGTCTAGCCAGTAAAAGAGATGAGTCGATCACTAGTACTAACTCCAAAACCAAGCTGTAGTATTTTGGGGCACTTACTTTTAGCACAAACAAGCAGAAGAGTAAGTCAATCATCAGTGTGGATGCATTCACCTTAGCAGGACTGGGCATACACCCGGTGTCACCTGCTGGGAGCCACAAAAGCAATCAGGAGTAGAAAGGTGCTTGCAACTGGCTCTGCACTACTCCATGTTGCCTCTACAGAGGCAGCGACTTGGCAGTCTAGAGGTTCCTTTTCAGAGCAATCTGACCAGCCATTGAAACTTTAGAATGCTTTATCTCCAAGCCTCATTTCCACTGTAAGCAGAGACTGAAAGCAAATGAGGTGAGCAATGGCAATGAGCCTCCCACTGTGCTTGGTGGAGAATATACATGCCTGAGCATGGAGAGGTTTCCATCTAATTCACTGCCTTCACTAGAAGAGCTTATTCTGACTTCTGAGGTGTGCAAAGATGGTAAAAACAGTTTTTTAAAAGGTAGCTGAGCTAAACCAAACAACAAATGCAGCATCTTGTCCCATCCTCCGACCAGCCAAGAACGGCTGAAGAGTGCTCGTTAAATACGACTTACCTGTTCTTCCAACCGGGAGTTCTTGTCTAAAATCTGCAGCATGTGCTCCCTCAGGGCACTGTTTTCATGTTCAGCAAGTTTCCCTCTTTTAACCTTAGAGGCAGAGATGGAAGTGAAAGAATAAAATAATAAGATACGCAGATTTTTGAAGCTGTTAATAAAAAATTTATTGATGCAAGCATTTAAAATGTCTCCTGTTTGAAAGTGAGGGCATGGCAGTACAGCATCTTAGCCAATACTAGAAATGGTCGTGAAGGAACAAAAAGTGGGTATGTTGCTCAATTACTCTGATTGGTTTGGGAGACAAATTCCAGTCTCAGTATAAAGAAGATGTATAAAACAGTACCTTTATGAGACAGCCATACTGCTTATACGGGCAGTCCACTTCTGCCTCAGGACACACAGTGTGGTGCTTTCCAATCTGCATGTATTAACAAAGAAATTCGTAATTAAATAAATATTAAGTAACTTGCTGCACTGATATAATCTGAATGGCTGCATAAAGGGTGAATAAAGGCCAATGTCACGACACCACTGATATAGAGGAAAATGAGTATTCAGAGTTGATAAGCAAGCCAGGTATTTTTCTGATACTGCAAAATGCCAATGCTTGGCAGTGACCAAATACCTCCCTTCTAAGATGGGACTTACACCCCTCTTAGGGCCAACCAAAGAAAATACTTAAAGCAATGAAGTTTTATTGGCATGGGCCAAAGTGGTCTGCAACGTAACTTTCAGTTTTCATAAATGTGTGTGATCAGATGAATCACGATATATGAAAAAAAATAATAGTACCTCCTTTTTCAGAATTATTTGTGAACAGTTTTGGAGACAAGGCACAGGATAATCAGGACAGTCATTTTTCTCATGATTCTGGGAAAACAAAACAAAACAAAACAAAACAGGCAATGGTTTGCAGTTTTGTAAAGTAGTATGCATAGAGGAAACTGTGCAAAAAGTAATCCCAAATACACACATGCAAGCCCCATATCGCATTGTTGTTTGTAAGAGAGCAACAGCTATTGGTATTCTTTAAAGCACATTTATTATACTTTCTCCTTCAACTACTCAGCCAAATTTTGTTTCAGGAGTTGTTAACTCCACCATAATGCTGGGAACTTTTCACTCAGCAACATTAAGAGGAAACACGTACTATGGATCCCCAGGGAATGCTTTACAATCTTACCTTTATGTTGATTAACACCACATATTTATTACAGTACTGACACATTTCTTCTCGAAATTTACAGTGCTGGCTCAAATGCTCTTTCAAGTCTTTCCGCAGAATTTGGTCACAGCATCCATCATTAGTGCACTGCACACTTTCAAACAAACACTGCTGAAGATGCTCCTGCAACATGCAACAGCACATTAACCCCCAAAGTATTTAATTGCATCTCCAATTGCCCAACAGAGCCACAGAAACATTTGGCAGTTTGGTAATGAACAAAACACCATATACTCTATCCTCCATAAAATTTCTCCTTTTCTAACCTCAAAACTACAGGGAACGTGAATATTTGGAGAGTCCTTGGTATGATTTCCACTTTTCATTCAATCCACATACCAAAAAAAGGCCCAAATGGCCAGTATGTCTTGGCAAGATTTCTTGAATCAACCATCACATGGCGCCTAAGCATAGGGAAGATATGTATAGAGGCCATGGATATTGTACAGATACATAAAGCAAATGGTTTCTATTAAACAAATAACCTAAAGCTAACAGTCATCATTTCTTGAGCTTAACATTTGTTACTTACAATGTATCGCTAAATCATCCTTGTACTTAAGCCATAACATTACTACAATAACTCCAAAGACCATCACTGGAATTTGGCTTATAATAAATACACAGAGTTTGCATCAAAATCAAAGGTTTCAAAATTTAATCAAACTAACCTGGTATCGTCCCAGAATTATTTTTGAATTGCAGTCAGGAATGTTTTTGCAGAACACATGCAAGTTGAGAACTTCTCTTTTACAGCAGTTGTCTTTGAATACCTGTAAAGGAAGCAGACCAGCCTTCACATGCAGTCACATAGGATGTTATAAAGAATATAAAAAAGCAAAACATCACAACAAATCTTTTAAGTACACAAGCGTATACTCTATAATTGTGAGTATGGTTCTTGATAATTCATATTGAAAATGTATACAAAAAGTACAAATTAAAGCATATATGAATTTTCTAATAAGCATATGGTTTTTCCCCCCCATATAATTATTCCATAGATGCTGATCCACCCTGCAGCCAGCAAGATTAGTAACTCAGAAGCTGCAGAAGTGCGGCCAGAGCCTGCCTTCTGGAAGAAAGCTGCTGGCCCCCAAAGCCCAAACCAGCTCTGTGCATGGTCCTCTGATGTTTGAGCATTGCAGCATGCCTTTGGGATGGAGATGGTGCTGAGATATCCCTTCTATAGATTCTGAGACACAGCAGAAGGAAATTAAGCCTCCACAGCAAACTGTCAGTCTTATGTAGAGTCCTATGAGGAGCATTATAAAGCTGCGCAGTTGCACTACTGCCATCAAAATTTGCACAAAGTAGAAGATAACGAGTGAAAGGCAAAAATCACGTGAAAAGCCTGATTACAATTTCCTATCAGCAATAGAAGAGAGATGAAGGAGACATTTGATTTCACTGAAAGGTTCATTCTGGCAGGACCAAGTATGTGGCACACTTTCAAGCTGTGGCATATAAATAAGGACAGTTAATCAATTTAAAAAAAAATCAGTAGCTTGCAAAATAAAAAGCATGAACTTTTCCTCTAAAAGGTTACCAAAATGTAACTTCAATCTGCAGGATTAGTTATATATAACGGAAATAGCTAATGGAACAAATTATAACAAAGTCAAAACAAAGATAATGAAATAAAAAAGATCTCCCAGCAAGATGGGGCATTAAAAAGTCAATAAACTCTCCCCTAATCTGAAGACTAGAGAAGTTTTAAAACTTTGTGAAACTCTTCAACACTACTGGAAATACAGAGGACTAAAACAAAATAACTTCAGAACAGGAGGTATAAAATAAAACTTTAGCTATAAACCCATACTTCCTCTCTGGGAGAGCACCACTGAATGCGCTGCTTCCTTTAGCATCATTTCAGAGACAAAAACTGTTCTGCCCCTGAGAGTCTAACAGACCGTGAGTCATCCTGTTCTCAGCTGCCTTGCTTTTCCCATGTAGATGTTGACTGCTGAAGCAAAACTACAGTCACTTACCTCATGCATTTTTATTGTTTCTTTGTCCACAGGACAGGTTGGTACCGCACTCAACTCTCTAGATCAAAAGAAGAGTCGTGTTAATCTACAGAAAATTTGATTTATTTTACGAAATTGGGCTGTGACAGAATCTGACTTCAGCAGAAGTCATACTAGATACCATAAAAACAAAAAATGTGATTCAAAAACACTTTCATCTGACAACCACACAGGCAAATTCTGCCCACAGCTCTAAGAGGGCACTAAGCTGCAACAGTGATTACATAACAGAAAACAGAGTTTGTCCTACACGTGTTAATAAGATGCTTTTTAATTAAGAGGACTTTGTCACTCTCTGGCCATCTGCTGCTTGCAAATGTCGTATCTGAAAAAATCTCACTGTGTGCATTGAACCCAGCCTTTGCCTAGCGCAAGTGGCGTCCTCCTTGCTACCCTGGTAAGAGACTATTCAAGGGTTCCTGTCTTAAGAGGCTTCCAGAAGTCCTATGACAAAGGATGGGAAAACTTTTACTGAGGCAGTGCAAAAGGGAGGCAACCTACAGAGAGAAAGCAGCAAACACGAAGCATCTAAAATTCATAAAAGGTAAATGGTGACATCCATCCACATAATCAGGCTTCTCGGCAGCGTTACCCAGGCCAAATCCTGCCCTCGGGTACATCAAACAGTGTGAAATGTGTTTCCAGACAGCTCTGCAGGGTAAACTCATTTGTACCTGCAGGAAAATCCCAAGCAGATGGATGCCAGCAGCCTTGCGATCTGACTGCAGCATTGGGTAATACTAACATCAGTTTTATAACTCCACTAAAGTCAAAGAAATTATACAGAAGCAAGTGAAAACAGTTTAATCTAACCACCAGTGCCAGTACTGCGTGATACTGATGCCACAAAATTCACCTGAACAGCACAATGCTGGACAGACCAAGACAGCATCTCACGCAGTAGTGCTTAAGCTTATATCAACAATTTCTTTACGGTGAACTCCCTGCAGTTACCAAAGTATTTCTCACCAGCACCAGGTAAGGTCCTTAAAGACACCCCCAAAACACTGAGCTCGCAGTCATTAGAGTTCAACAAAGTATTTCCATGGACTCTTTCAGATTTTATCAGATCAGTACTATTACTATGGCCCTCACTGCAGATTTATAGAAGGCATTGACATCTTTTTAGGAAGGGGAGGGCAGGGAGCTTGCGGATGCAGAAGGAGATTGCACTGACCTCAAAGACAGAATGCACTGCTGGCAAAACCGGTGGCCGCATCCTGTCTGGTGGGGGTTGCGAAGGACAAGGTGGCAGTAGGCGCTTTTTAGGCTTCAACAAACTTGTAGTCAGCATCAGGCTCGAAGTCCAGAGAGACAGCACTGGCAGAGTTTTGGCGCGTGAAGATGCCTGAGAGACCAGCGGGCTCGTCACAGGCCATGGGAGCTGCACTGGGAACCAGGCACAGGGAGAATCCCCTCAAATATTCACTGTCGGTCACGCCGCCTCAGCTACCCCTTGCAGCAGGCGGCCATTCACAGGAGGGCTGTCATCTGCAGCAGGGTGTGACAGATTTCGGAGGGAAACGCAGTGCCAACTATGGAAGAACAACAAAATGCTCAGAGAACCACAAAACGATGGTTACACAACAAGCACCAAAGCACACTTCTTTGGAAAAGAGTTTCACAATCTGAAAATTATTCCCCAGAATAGAGACTTCTATGGTTTTTTTTAATTTTCTTGCAGCAGTTATTAGTCTTAAAAAAATACAAGACACAGTTGGGGAAAGCCGAGGCCACGTCCTGGCCCTAACGTCCGCCAGGAAAGTCTACACTGAACATAAAGGCCACCCACAAGACTTCACGCGTTCATTGCACTGACAATGAGACAGCTTTGTGGTTTGCAGTAAGCAGCATACAGAAAAAGGCAGCAAGGGGATTTTACCTTCAGTTGAGGTGTTGCAGGAGTCAAAGCCTCTTAACTTGACATCTTTCTTTTCCCAGCTGATCACTCATTTTTAGCAGTAAACAGTAATCCTATTTTTTCAAAGTTTTACTTAATTATGTGCAAGTACTTGGCTATATTAACCCTGCCTGAAAAAAAATGATGGGGAAAAAAAAGAAAAAGAGAAAAATTGCAATCAGAAGTATGACATAAGTTTTTCTCTCAACCTCCCAAAGCTTGTACACAGCACAGAATACAATATTAGTTTTCTAATAGGAAAAAACAGCAACATTTGTTTCCAACCCTAAGTCACAAAACTTGAAATTCACCAGTGGTCCCTCAATGTTGCAGACCGTTTTTTGCAAGTAGCTCAAGACCCAGAGCCACTCTGGTTTTCATTTCTTGCAGCTCTGCATTCAGAAGACCTTTCTTTTCGTTACAGGATGTGCACAAAAGCACAATGCACCTGAGTGGTCAGACTGTTTCATGGGGGAAGTGCTCAAATTTATATCTGTGCTGTGGGATGTGATTTCTCCTCTGTGTGCATCACCCTCCCTGTCAGTCACTCAAGTCACTCTTACTGGCATCAGCGCCACTCTCGGAGCTCTGACTCAGCTCCTGCCAGGTCACCAAAGGTATCTGCTGCTTTTGTGGGCAAGCAGGGCCAACACATCATCATTAATAACCTCACACTGGCACTAAAGCATATACCAAGTACTGGTACACTGCCCTGCCTCCCTCCTGCAGTGGATTCCTGGCTCACCACAGCAGTGATGAGCCCTGTCACAGATCTCCTAGCCTCCAGAAAGCAGCATCCATTTCCTTGCTACTTTAAAAATCCCGTACTAGGCACGGGAATCCTGCAGACAGGTAAAGTATCTGATTCAAAATCAAGACAAACCACTTAATCAACGAAAACATATTCCACAGCAAACATTTAGGTGCTCCTGTAACTCACCACCCTTGTTTGTGGTTGTTACGCGGTATTTACCAGTCTAGCTTGCGAGAGCCTCCCTGCCGTCCACCAGGCTGAATCTCAGACTCACTCCAGCACAACTGACCATCATCAGTAACCCACAGCAATGTCAGCCTTTATCACAGTCCAGGTGTAAAGACTTATTATTTCAACTAGAGTTAGCAAACTACGCTGTTCGGTTCCTCCAGATGAGCAGCCGCCTTCTTCAAACCAGAGAGGATTGTCCCTGTAGCTCCTTTCATTTTAAAACAGCTGACCTCTGCTCCTCTGAAAATTGAGTTCCTCACTCTCTGATGCTTAATAAGGAGCAATTCTGTTATCCTCATGCCAACCAGAGATGCCAAAATGCAGCTCTAGGGATTACCAGCCTCATGCCAGGGCTGCCTCGACAGCAGACACCAGCAGCGGAACATGCCTGCTGCTTCAAAGGCAGATGGAGAGCTGCCACCATTAACTTCCACAGCAGAGACTACCTACAGGACCGATTTCCTACAAACTCATCCTGCTGTTGGTTGGCAAGAACCCTGAAACATGTTTCCTTCCCTCTGTCTTATTAGTGCTCTCTCCCATTTACATGGCGTGCAATTTCCTGTTACACTCCAGGACTTGTATCACGGTTTAGCAAGGGTCTACCTTTACTCCTGATGTACTTCCAGCTGGGATGAATAATGTTATGAATGTTTTAGGCAACAAAGTTATGGCATGCATTAAGAAGAAACACAGTCTCCAGCCCAAAATCCCATCCAGAAACTCCTTCAGAACTCACGCTGCTAATTAAATCTCCCACATTCATTCCCACCTCTTTCTGCAAGGAGCACTTTGCTGTGGTACGCCTCCTGACTCTCTTGTTGAAATGAAAGCCTTCATCTCCTTAAGGAGACGCATGACGCATCCATATCCCCAACCCAGATCCCATTCCTGAAAAAGAAGACTCTCGGCACCTCCTCCCCCTCAGCCTTGCACAGCTGAGGGCACCTCAGGGCAGAGGAAAGAGCACCTCAGGCAAAGGGGGCAGAACAGAAACCTCTGGGTGCCCAGAAGACCTGGGATGATTGCCACCGCTGCCAGCCTCACAGGCAGCTTTTGCTGCAGGGTTTGCAGGGGTTTTGAAGGAGGAAATGGCTGTCCCAGGAGAGCGCCTGAGGGTGGCAATGCTTCACCCAAGCTGGAGAGGTGCCCACATGAATCAGCCATGGAGATGGGCTCAGAAGAGCCGAGAAATGGCAGTCCTGTGCCAGACCTGCTGCCAGCCAGCGCTCGGGGGGACATGACCCAAACCATTGCAGGAGGTGCGTGATTGCATCCCAACACGCACTGGGGACTTGGGGTAGATTGCAGAAGTTCTTCTTCCACTTGTGGCTTCCAGCGCTTGTGCCTGTGCTCTCTGAACTGAAACCAAAGGGAAACCATTGGGGGAAAAAGTGCTTTTTTGTGACAGCAAGAGCACGCCAATGGTTAACTGAATCAACTTCCTGCTTACGCTAATGCGTAGGAGAGGAGATATGCTTTCACTTCTGCCTGTTCACAGCTAAGAGCAATGGGAAGGCATCCTTTCTCCGTGGGTGCTGCAATATTTCAGCACGTGTGTGAACTGTAATGCTGCCTTAAAATAATAGAGAGTAGTGGACTTAGGCTGCATAACGATGCTCTTGTGGCAGACGCACAACACATGTGGCAAAGGGATTTTCATTGCAACAGCACACACACAAAAAAAGCCAAACCATCTATGAACACTGAAAAGCTACATATAAAAAAATGGATTTCCATATACTGAAATGAACAGAATGAATTCTGACCACACATAAAAAAGGAGTTTGAATCACCAGAAGCTAAGCCCAAGCCCTGTAAATGGCTACCAAAGAGAGGGAGCTCAATGGCAGTGCAGTGCAAAGAGCTCCTGGCTGCACCTTCCTCCCACCTCAGCATCCCAGCCCTGCCTGCACTGACGGCAGCACATGCAAAACGCTTCTGGAACAACTCCTTATATAGCAGTGTTGCACACAGGTGCTTTAACCTCACTGGAAATAATCCAAAGGGGAGAATTTTCTTTAAAAAATAATTTTACTTGAACATGGGCTATCTTGTTTTTACTGCCACCACACCAAACTGAGCCCAAACATTTTCCATTAAAATGCTCCACACTTGGTACATCTTACTGTTCAGAAACTGAGCGAGAGACGAGCAGAACATGATAAGGAGAAAAACCAGCATGAGCATGACTTATTATAATGCAGAAATTACATTAACATTTTTAAAGCCATGTTCACACAGTTCCCCTCCAGCAGCACTGCTGCCTATCTATGCCACCAGCAGTCGGGATGAAGAGAAGTGGTGTGCAGTGCTGATATCACATTGAACTACTGTGGAGGACAGGTTACCTTTCTTTGGCCATGAAAATGTACTTACTGCACACAGAGAAAACTATTCCCATACTGTGGTGGTTCTTTTTTAAGAGAATATGTATTTCCTGTTTTCTCTCACACAAAGCCAAGTTTCCCCCTGAAAGGTTAGCAGATTCCCCCCCTGAGCTGTGAGTGCACCACTACATCAGGCTGAAGCACCAAAACCTCCAGGACAGCAGACCCAAGGCACAGGCACTGAACACCACCACAGCTTTTAGATTGAGAAGGGCAAATATTGTTGTTATCACAGATTTGGTCATAACGCATGGACAAGAAGACAGGATCCTTGGTCTTGCTACCCAGCAAATAGGAGCTGAGATCACAGCTTTTGCCAGGTTCATTACATGAGGGGAGGGTAATGCTCAGCTGCCCTCCAGGACTGGGGTATTGCTCAGTAAAAAGGACCATGATCACGTCCTTACTCATCATATTTCCATTAAATACATTTAACAGGGCATAGAAAAAAAGTTACATGCCTATATTCCTATATATGTAGCTCGAGTTCAGCTCTATTGCTTTGCTCTAAAGCACTTGGTAGGGACAAGTCTTAGAAGACGCCCTGACCCTCCCTCTGAAAATTACCTACCTTTTATGGTACAGCAGAGCTGGAAGTCTATCATAGTCACGGTGGGGAAAGTTCTGTCAAAATTAGAGGTCTAAGATCAATTCGCTTCACTAGGAGCTGGCAGGCAGAAATATATTGGAGAGGAACGTACCTTGCATTAAAATTACCTTCTCCATGCTGCCTTATAAACTAAGTAGATTAGCTGCCTCCAATATTTTTGAATTAAAATAACAAAGTTATATGATTTACTACTAATGCAAGGTTCTCCACAAAACCACTGCATTTTGGGGACAAGAAATATATGTCCCAACTCTTAACATATGGAACTGGTAACAGAGTCTGCTAAAAAAGAACTAAAAATATCTACACACTTTGAAATCCGTATTTAAAATACAATAGATTATATGGAGTCGTGAAAAGAGCAGATGATGACATCTGACATGACTGAGGGAACATCCTTGTCCCTGTGAACCCAGGAAGTGTTACAACATTTTGACTACTAGCAACCAAATGCACTTGTAGAGTCTCTGTGGGGGAGAAGGATCCCGGCTGCA